CCTGATAAAGCTATGGAACCTTTCAAAATTGTATTTAAGTTTTGGGTATGCTTAACATTGAGGACACGATGATGACAGCTGCTCCATAGAAAATACACCAAGATAACGACAGATTTTGTGATTTTGGTTTAAACTCGTTTAATTGCCACACTTTTTTGGGAGAACCAAAACCGGACTGAAAACCCGAAAGCAGTGTAGGATGTCGAAATATAAGCTCGCTAAAAATGAAAACAGTCTGAGAGGGCGGATGGATTCTCCAAGCAAAGGCAGAGCCAAGAAAGCAAGGGGAGGGTTGATAATGACGGGTTGGACGTTAAGTAGGTTTGGTGGGCTGGAATCGGTGATGAGCACCCTTTAACAGTTAACTGATTCCGATTTTGATTCATAAGCCGTCGACAGATCTAGGGAGGCGGGCGGGTTCATAAGCGAATTCCAGGAGCTCCTGTAATGATACGGCTCTCCGTTTCCCAGAGAGATAAGCATCGGTAAATTGTAAGCTCCAAGCTCTTACTTACTCCAGATCGGCTACCGAGTCCTCCCCTCCTCCCCCCTGCCACCCCCCTCGCTGAATAAATACCTACACCTTCATTTCAAATCAACCATTTATCGGGATCCTGTGTTTTGCACATAACTTAATCTCTAGGTACAGTCGACGATTTTGAATGGGATTCACCGATTTGCCTCAGATGGGACTGCCTTGCGCAATGATACGATACGGCGGTTTTCGATCCATCGAATTTCGATACTTTACCCGTGACGCATAGGAAAAGCTCGAGCGCTCCCTGACTTCGAGATGTCCCCGGGGCCGAAATTTGAACGGCAGCGGCGGAACACCTGCAATTTGCGCGGAAATTAAAGGCGGGAGCAAGATAAATGTGCATGGTTCAAAAATGGCATCCATCGTACGTTCGAGGCCGAGGTGGCGCGAATGGTTTCCTCGGGAGGTGATAGTTTTCTGTTCTTTCCCCGTTCTGCCTTCTTTTCCATTGCGATAGCGCATTTATTCATTTCTCAGTGAGGTTGCCCCTGGCCCAACTCGGAGGTCTTGCGACTCTACGATTAGGTCCTCGGTTTTCGCCTTCCATGTTCATGAGTAAACTCATTTTCCCCTGCGTTGAAAAAAAGTAATGGGCGGTATATTTGGGCCAAAACCTCTGAACATATGAATCGAGACATGCAAAAAGGGCGGAAGTCCAAATTTTTCAAAATAGACTTTTTTGCATTGGTGGACTCCTCTAATATGTATATATACATCGACTCTGCGAAGAACGGCGGAAGGGTCCATCATTTTAACGTTGATTAATAGGGAAGGGAAATATTGGCAGAAGCGGATACAGCAATTTGGCAACACCGATTTTCCTCCATTTAACCCTATGCTAAAGTATCGATTCTTGTTGGAGCATCTGGCCCCTCTCAGAATCGATACATTTTCATAGGTTTTAATGGAGAAAAGACAATGTTGCCAATTTGTTGGATCCGCCAATGAATATTGGTCACATGCAAAAGAGCGGAAGTCTTGGACTTGGTGTTTTTTTTTTCGATTTCTCCAGTTGCGGAAAGGGCGGAAGTCCATGTGTTAAAAGGGCGGAAGTCCAAATCAAAACTAAAAAATTCCCAAAAAAGCAGGTTCAAAATTTGTTTAGGAGATAAAATTCTTATTCGTACAATCGGGACAAGCCTTCCGCAATAGGAAATATTTTTTTTTTTTTTTTTTTTTTTTTTTTTTTATTCGAATTGTTTGTCCTACAGGAAGTTTTTTGCTCCTCCTGAATTTTTGGACTTCCGCCCTTTTTGCATGTTTCGATTCATATCTGCTGCACACGAGAGGTCTGTATAGTCATGGGTCTTCCAATTAGGGATAAATCAATCGATTAAACGCATGTCTTTTGATTCAATTAATTACTCGATTATTGACAACTGATAAATCTGATATTAAATATTTCCGAGTTCCCGGGTCAAATTTCTTGAACTTAACAAAGAACCTTTAAAATCCAATCAGCTTTAAACCAAAAAGTGCTGAAACTTTATGAAATAAAAGGATCTCAGGAAAACATACGGATATAAATGTGCCGAAATTTGCTACATTATCATCGAGAATGTTCAGCACACATACTTTTTTATTCTCAAATTCAGCGCAAATACTGATATGGGTACACCTGAGAACCCTGGCGCCTGGCGGGCGTTTCAGAGTACTACTGGTTGTTAATTTGAAAATTTACCGTTTTAAACTATGCAAATAAATCGATTAGATAAATACCTAAAAAATAAATGATCTGAGCAGAGGCGTAGAAAAGGGGGGGGGGGGGGCCTGGCCCCCCTAGAATTGGCAATAGTATCACCCCCCCCCCCCCAGAAATTCTGGATGGTGCAAAAACACCTTCATCAACGGTAAATCTCTGTCACCGTGGCCTGTTGAATAACCTGTTGAATACAATTTCAAAGTATCTTAACCTTAAAATGCATAATACTGGGTGATTTTTAGGCAGAAATTGAAGGAAAATTAGCGTCACAAGTGTCTCGAGATGCGCTCAAATATGGAGTTACAATTTCAAAAATTTTCCGGGGGAGGCCCCGTACCCCCCGTTGAGCTGGGGGGTATTCCATACCCCCGACCCC